CCTCCCTGGTAGTATCTTAAAAAGTAAAGTTAGAATTGGAGAAAATAAGGATGGTCATCCAAGAGAAAGAGAGGAGAGATATGGTATACAGGGGGTCACAAACATCTACTTAAGAAGTTTCATTTAAGCTGGGGATAAAAACAAAGGGGTTACCTCAGTTTTATTCCTGTATTCTTTTACAACTCCAGTAACCATAATACTGTATTCACCCAGTCCCTGCCAACCCTTTTCTGAGTTTGCCTTTGGAAAAATGAATTGAAACCACTGCAACAAAGTTCTTAATTTTCAGTTCTTTCAGTGACATACTGCACTTAATACAGAGCATCCTCATCCTCTCATTCCCTCCTTCCTTAAAAGCTTTTATCATTTTACCCTACTCTGCCCCTGCTTTATCTTCCTTCCCTCACATCCAACACAGCTGCCTTTGCTACTACCAAAACGTTTGCTCATAAACACAGAGACATGCCATATCTGCAACAAGAGGAAGGCACGTCAAGCCAACCCTGACTGGGACCACCTTCCATTTGGAAACCGATGTCCTCACTGTGGGAGAACATGTGGATCAAGAATAGGGCTCCACAGCCACCTATGGACCCACCGCCAAGACACCACATCTAGAAAACAATCATCCTCGAGCTACGAGGGATCGCCTAAGTAAGTAGGCTAGGGCAGTTCAAAGTGGTATCGAACTGCATTCATTCTCCAGCATAGAGTCACTGGAAGAGACGTTATAACACAAGAAATATTACTGGTGGGGCGTTTCATATAAAGCATCCTTAAATCCTCAGTTGATATCACTGGGTGCCTCTACTCAACTGATAAACAGCTCCACCGGCTGCCTATTTGTTTCCAGGCCCAATTCAAAGTGCAGGTCATAACGTATAAAGCCCAACATGATTCGGGTCCAGTTTATTTGCTCAATCGCATCCTCGTGTTTATGAACCAGTTTGAGCCCCAAGATGCTCAGGGGAGGCCCACCCATTACAAGCACAGCTGGAGGGAATGAGAGAGAGGGTCTTCTTAGTGGTCGCCCCCCCTCCCCCAACCTCTGGAATGCCCTTCCCAAGGAAATTAGATTTGACTTCCTTTTTGATGTTTTTAGAAAGCAACTTAAAACTGGGGTCCCTTCCACAAAGCAGAATAAAATCCCACATTTTCTGCTTTGAACTGGAATATGTGGCAGTGTGGATAACTTTGGGCCCGTCCACACAGCCATATAACCCAGAATACCAAGGCAGAAAATCCCACAGTCTCTGCTTTGAACTGGGTTATCTGAGTCCACACTGCCATATATTCCAGTTCAAAGCAGATAATGTAGGATTTTTTCAGCTGTGTGGAAGGGACCTAAGGGCCCTTCCACACAGTTCTATACCTCAGAATTTCAAGGCAGAAAATCCCACATTATCTGAGTGTGGACTCAGATAATCGAGTTCAAAGCAGATACAGTGGGGTTTTCTGAGATATAGGGCTGTGTGGAAGGGCCCTCTGAATATCAAGGCCAAAAATCCCACATTATCTAAGTGTGGTCTCCGATGACCCAGTTCAAAGCAGATATTGTGGGATTTTTGGCCTTGATATTCTGGGATATAGAGCTGTGTAGAAGGGCCTCCAGGTTAAAGCAGATATTCTGGGTTATATGGTTGAGTGGCTTTGGAAACAGGCTTTTGGAGACGATCAGTCTTAAATGGAGGTATTTCAGTAAGAGCAATAGTTTTAAAAATTGTATTGCTTTTATTTCTGCAAGAGAAGCTAGTTTTGATGTTGATGTTCTCATAGGCTCTCAGTAATGCCAATGATTCTGTTGTAAATGATGTTAATTTGACCTAATTTTTTTAGGCACTGCACCCAATGTGCCGATCACCACTGGGACCACCTTGACTGGCTTGTGCCAGAGTGTTTGCAGTTCGATCTTTAAATAATAATAATAATAATAATAATAATATGTTATCTACACCAGGGGTCCTCAAACTAAAGCCCAGGGGCCAGATGCGGCCCTCCAACGTCATTTACCCGGCCCTCGCGCAGGGTCAACCTAAGTCTGAAATTACTTGAAAGCACACAACAACAATCCTATCTCATCAGCCAAAAGCAGGCCAACACATCCCACTGAAATACTAATAAGTTTATATTTGTTAAAATTGTTCTTCATTTTAATTAGTGTATTGTTTTTAAGTGTTTTTTTGCACTACAAATAAGATATGTGCAGTGTGCATAGGAATTCATTCTTTTTTTTCTTTTTTTTCAAATTAGAATCCGGCCCTCCAGCAGTTTGAGGTACGGTGACCTGGCCCTCTGTTTAAAAAGTTTGAGGACCCCTGATCTACACCTTAGAATTACTAGCAAAAACACCTCCGATATTAAATTACTATTACCACTCTGACTTGCAGGTGTTGTTGGCTTGTTGATATCACCAGCTACATAATTATACTATTAATTTTACTTCTAATGAACTTTTGGTGTTTCTGTAAATCAATGTCTGTGTTGATGTTTTATATTGAGTGAAGTTACTTGACAGGCTAGGCTACCATTTAATTTGCAGCTGCAAGTTCAATTTGATTGTAGGTGTTGGTTTATTTTGGGACTTGGCCAGGTTGTTATTGTATTTGCAGTTGAACTGATGGTCTTGTCAAGGCACTGAATGTTTGGGTTGTTGTAGGTTTTTTCGGGCTATATGGCCATGTTCTAAAGGCATTTTCTCCTGACGTTTCACCTGCATCTATTGCAAGCATCCTCAGAGGTAGTGAGGTCTGTTGGAACTAGGAAAAAGGGTTTATATATCTGCGGAATGACCAGGGTGGGACAAAGGATTCTTGTCTGCTGGAGCTAGGTGTGAATGTTTCAACTGATCACCTTGATTAGCATTTGATTGCCTGGCAGTGCCTGGGGCAATCTTTTGTTGAGAGGCCATTAGATGTCCCTGTCTGTTTCCTCTCTGTTGTTGTGCTGTTCTAATTTTAGAGTTTTTTAATACTTCTAGTCAGATTTTGTTCATTTTCATGGTTTCCCCCTTTCTGTTGAAATTGCCCACATGCTTGTGGATTTCAATGGCTTCTCTGTGTAGTCTGACATGGTGGTTGTGAGAGTGGTCCAACATTTCTGTGTTCTCAGATACTATGCTGTGTCCAGGCTGGTTCATCAGGTGCTCTGCTATGGCTGACTTCTCTGGTTAAAGTGGTCTGCAGTGCTTTTCATGTTCCTTGATTCGTGTTTGGGCACTGCCATACCGCTGAGGATGCTTGCCATAGATGCAGGCGAAACGTCAGGAGAAAATGCCTCTCGAACATGGCCATATAGCCCGAAAAAACCTACAACAACCCAGTGATTCCGGCCATGACAAGCCTTCGACAATACACTGAATGTTTATTGTTTGTTTGCTGAAATCTGCTCTGAGTCCCTTCAGGAAGATAGGGCAGGTTACAAATAAAGTCTTATTATTTTTATCTACACTGTAGAATTAACGCAGTTCAACACCACTCTGAATTTAGGGCGCCAACATTCATAGAATCATAGAATCAAAGAGTTGGAAGAGACCTCATGGGCCATCCAGTCCAACCCCATTCTGCTAAAAAGCAGGTATATTGCATTCAAATCACCCCTGAGAGATGGCCATCCTGCCTCTGTTTAAAAGCTTCCAAAGAAGGAGCCTCCACCACACTCCGGGGCAGAGAGTTCCACTGCTGAACGGCTCTCACAGTCAGGAAGTTCCTCCTCATGTTCAGATGGAATCTCCTCTCTTGTAGTTTGAAGCCATTGTTCCGCATCCTAGTCTCCAAGGAAGCAGAAAACAAGCTTGCTCCCTCCTCCCTGTGGCTTCCTCTCACATATTTATACATGGCTATCATATCCCCTCTCAGCCTTCTCTTCTTCAGGCTAAACATGGACGAGGGACAGGGCCTTCTCTGTGGTGGCCCCTCGGCTGTGGAACGCCCTTCTTACGGAGGTTAGATCAGCCCCTTCGCTAATGGTGTTTCGAAGAAAATTAAAAACTTGGCTGTCTGAACGGGCATTCGGATAACAACGCAATGATGATGATGAATACACGAACAGAATTATGGACGACGAATTGGATTATGATTCTAGTTACGAGATGTTATTGGACTGTTATTGATGTGTCATTATTGTGTATACTATGTTTTTAATTGATTTTAAATTGTATATTGTTTGATTGACTTTTTATCCTTGTTGTAAACCGCGTTGAGTCGCCTGTTGGGCTGAGAAACTGCGGTATACTAATAAAGTAAATAAATAAATAAATAAATTAAGCCGCTCCTCATAGGGCTTGTTCTCCAGACCCTTCATCATTTTAGTCGCCCTTCTCTGGACACATTCCAGCTGGTCAATATCTCTCTTGAGTTGTGGTGCCCAGAATTGGACACAATATTCCAGGTGTGGTCTAACCAGAGCAGAATAGAGGGGTAGCATGACTTCCTTAGATCTCGACACTAGGCTCCTCTTGATGCAGGCCAATTCCAGATACAAAAGGATATAATATAATATTCCTTTTTGTTATGGCATCTCTTTTGGTTGGGAAAATAATGTGGTTCGAAGGACAGATACACACCTTTAATTGCCATGGGTCAATGCTATGGAATCCTGGGAAATGTAGTTTCCCAAGGTAGCCTCATCAAAGTGGAAGTCCTAGGATAGGACAGCATTGGGGAATGGCAGTTCAAAGTGGTGTCAAAGTGCATTCAATTTGGAGCAGGACTGGGCCAACTTGGGCCCTCCAGGTGTTTTGGACTCCAACTCCCACCATTCCTAACAGTCTCAGACCCCTTCCTTTTCCCCCCTCAGCCGCTTAAGATGTGGGGGAAAAGGAAAGGGCCTGAGGCTGTTAGGAATGGTGGGAGTTGGAATCCAAAACACCTGGAGGGCCCAAGTTGGCCCAGTCCTGCTCTAGAGGCCTAGTCCCTGGCCTCCCCTCAGGAGGGGGCGGGGCAGGCTTCCAAGGCCTTCCCCTGACTCCCTCCTCGCTCCTCGGCCCTTTCCCCTCGACTCACTCCGGCAAATAAGTGGAGGAGAAGCTGCTCCATCGGTGCAACGTGTAGGCCAAGGCGCGGCTCTCGAGGGCGCTGTTTGGGCCGAAGTCAAAGCCTAAACCGGGAGGGCCCGCCGCCGACGCCGCTGCCGCCGCCATTTTGTCATCAGAAGAGGATCCGCCAGAGAAGCAACGGAGCGTGGGCAGTGCGCATGCGTGCCACGACACGTCCGGTTCCCCATCGCCTTGCGTTGACCTCCTACTATTGCAAGATTACATATAAACCCTCAGGACCTTTAAAGAGTGTCGCTTGGGAGCCGGACGTTCATATAAATTTTTAACAGTCTATTTCAGATTGGGGAGGGAAACTGAAAGGAGAGCAAAGGGGAGCAAATGGCTGCTCTTAAAGGGCCCGCAGCGCATTTTGGATGCTCAGGGCTATTCAACTACCAAGAGTTTTAGCAAGTTGGGCTGATCAACTATTTATTTTTGTTTGTTTATTTATTTATATCCCGCTTTATCTCGCCATACGGAGACTCAAAGCGGCTCACGATCAAAAACATTACAACTTCAAATATACAATAATAAAATAGTATATCATTATATATTATTATTATATAGTATCAGCACTAATTATGTTTAATATATTAGTATTTCTATACTACAATATTTTATATATATATATATATTGTATTATTAGTATTGTAATTCATTATGTTATCAATATATAATGCAATATAATAGTAATTATATTGCATTATATAGTAGGTAAAGGTAGTCCCCTGACATTAAGTCCAGTCATGTCTGACTCTGGGGTGTGGTGCTCATCTCCATTTCTAAGCCGAAGAGCCAGCGTTGTCCATAGACACCTCCAAGGTCATGTGGCCAGCATGACTGCATGGAGCGCCATTACCTTCCCGCTGGAGCGGTACCTATTGATCTACTCACATTTGCATGTTTTCAAACTGCTAGGTTGGCAGAAGCTAGGGCTGACAGGGGTTCAACCCGCTCCCCGGATTCGAACCTGCGACCTTTCAGTCAACAAGTTTAGCAGCTCAGTGCTTTAACCCACTGCGCCACCGGGGGCTCCCATTGCTATATTACAATATTATTATTATTATTATATTGTATTATTAGTAGTATTGTAATGTGTTATATTATAATATATTGCAATATATAATGCACTATACTATTAATATATATTACTAGCCGTCCCCTGCCACGTGTTGCTGTGGCCCAGTCTGTGTATATGTTTTGTGTGTGTATATATATGTGTGTGTGTATATTTGTGTATATGTGTATATATGTGTGTTTGCATAGATAGATAGATATAGATATACAGATAGATGGGTGTATATGTGTGCGCATGTTGTTGTTCATTCATTCAGTTGTCTCCGACTCTTCGTGACTTCATGGACCAGCCCATGACAGAGCTCCCTGTTGGCCGTCACCACCCCCAGCTCCTTCAAGGTCAGTCCAGTCACTTCAAGGATGCCATCCATCCATCTTGCCCTTGGCCCTCTTCCTTTTGCCTTCCACTTTCCCCAGCATCATTGTCTTCTCTAGGCTTTCCTGTCTCCTCATGATGTGGCCAAAGTACTTCAACTTTGTCTCTAGTCTCCTTCCCTCCAATGAGCAGTCGGGCTTTATTTCCTGGAGGATGGACTGGTTGGATCTTCTCGCAGTCCAAGGCACTCTCAGCACTTTCCTCCAACACCACAGTTCAGAAGCATCTCTCTTCCTTCACTCAGCCTTCCCTAAGGTCCAGCTCTCACATCCGTAGGTGACTACAGGGAATACCATGGCTTTGACTAGGCGGATCTTTGTTGCCAGTGTGATGTCTCTACTCTTTACTATTTTATTGAGAAAACATTACAACTTCAAATATACAAATATACAATAATAGAACAGTATATCATTATATATTATTATATAGTATCAGAACTAATTATGTTTAATATATTAGTATTGCTATATTATAATAATATTATTATTATATATTATAGTAGCCATCCCCTGCCACGCATTGCTGTGGCCCACTCTGGTGGCCATGGGGGTTCTGTGTGGGAGGTTTGGCCCAATTCTATCGTTGGTGGGGTTCAGAATGCTCTGTGAGTGTGGGTGAACTACAAATCCCAGCAACTACAACTCTCAAATGTCAAGATTCTATTTTCCCAAAACTCCACCAGCGTCGACGTTTGGGCATATTGAGTATTCGTATAGAATTTGGTCCAGATCCATCATTGAGTCCACAGTGCTCTCTGGATGTAGGTGAACTACAACTCCAAAACGAAAGGACACTGCCCACAAACCCTTCCAGTATTTTCTGTTGGTCATGGGAGTTCTGTGTGCCAAGTTTGGTTCAATTCCATCATTGGTGGATTCTGAATGCTCTTTGATTGTAGGTGAACTATAAATCCCAGCAACTACAACTCCCAAAAGACAAAATCAAATTTTTTTGGTGAAGGACATACATTGGGTTGTTAGGTGTATCGTGTCCAAATTTGGTGTCAATTCCTCCAGTAGTTTTTAAGTTCTGTTAATCCCACGAACGAATATTACATTTTTATTTATATAGATTGTATTATTTGTAGTATTATAATGTATTATATTATCAATATATAATGCAATATAATACTAATAATTATATGATATTATAACAATATATTTATATTACATGTAATGTTACTAATAATATTACAATATAATGGTATAGTACAACATAGTAATATTTAATACTGATATTGTACTATGCTGTCTATATAAATAAAAATGTAATGTTCGTTTGTGGGATTAACAGAACTCAAAAACCACTGGACGAATTGACACCAAATTTGGACACAAGACACCTAACAACCCAATGTATGTCCTTCACTCAAAAAAATTGATTTTGTCATTTGGGAGTTGTAGTTGCTGGGATTATAGTTCACCTACAATCAAAGAGCATTCTGAACCCCACCAACGATGGAATTGAACCAAACTTGGCACACAGTTCTCCCATGACCAACAGAAAATACTGGAAGGGTTTGGTGGGCAGTGTCCTTTGGTTTTGGAGCTGTAGTTCACCTACATCCAGAGATCACTGTGGACTCAAACAATGATGGATCTGGACCAAACTCCACATGAATACTCAATATGCCCAAATGTGAACACTGGTGGAGTTTGTGGGAAATAGAATCTTGACATTTGGGAGTTCTAGTTGCCGGGATTTATAGTTCACCTACAGTCAAAGAGCATTCTGAACCCCACCAACGATAGAATTGGCCCAAACCTCCCACACAGAACGCCCATGTGGGCCACAGCAACATGTGTGGCAAGGGGCGGCTAGTAATAATAATAATAATAATAATAATAATAATAATAATAATAATAGCCAGAAACTCAGCAGGTTTCAGGGTGAAACACTCCAAAATACCTGAGCTACAAGTCTCTGCCATGTTGTCATTTTCCACCACTTTGCATTTTTCCATCAATGGCTTGCTGTCCAGACATATTTTCTCCTTTTTTTCCCCTTCCTTTCCACCTACAAATCACAACATTTCTTCATTTCTTTGTCTCTATCCTCTTGTAGTTAATCAGAATCTTCCAGTTCATCTCCAAAGCTCTAAGTATTCTCTATATTCAGAGCAGTGGCACTTTATCCTCTGTACCATGCCTTGTTTTTTTTATTTTCTTGCTTGTTTAAACAAATGGCAATGTTATGTATTTTAATTATAACGTCTTCAAAGGTTCCCTTCTCCCTCTCGAGGTTTAGTGTCCCATTCGACACTGCAAGAAACTTACCAAATAATTGGACTTTGGGCTTATTCCATCACTTCTACAGATAAAAGTCTGGGTTATGAACTTTTTGAGAAGTGTTAAATCAGATGCAGACTCTATTAAGTCAATCAAGCTGTTCTCACAGCGGTTAAGCAGGCCAACTGATTTTCAGGGCACTAATCAAAACTCTCTGGATGATGCAGGGACTCTGAAAAATACATAGCAGAGCCATGATGCACTAAAACAGTGACTAAAGCCAGCAGAATATGCAAGTATAAGGCATGGTGGCACATAAACCAAATTGAAACCAGGCACAAAAGAGTGGAGTGAAGCATGTGTATACCAGATGCCTCTAAGAAATTTGCTAAGACCAGTTCTGGAACCAGATGCTGTTGCAGCCCGGGACTGAAAACACCTAAGACCACAGCATCACACAAGAACCCACAACATAAGCAAACAATTTATTGTAAAAACACATAAAAATACATGAAAAATCAGGAATAAAGAAAGATGTATAACCTAAAAAAGGGTTAGCAGTAACCAAACAGTGTTCCAAATGCCTAATGCAGGTCCCAAAGGAACACAGGAATAGCCCACAAGTACGGCATAAGTCCACAAGGTATGCTTAGTAAACTTGAGCAGGAATACAAAAACAAGAACATATAAAACTTCCAGGATACTTAAATCCAAAACCAAGGCTTGACTTGAAACATGAACCAGAGAACCCAGGGCTAGCTTCTCTCTCGAACGCTATGTTGTCTAAACGAACCTTTAGGTAAACAACTTGCTAATTAATAGAAACCCATGAAATCATTCCTTTTCCCATAAATCTTTCCCCAACTTTCCCACGTAATCGCTCTGACTAGTGCTGCCTATTTTCTGCTCTAATCTGTAAATGAAGACTTTTGTTGATCTCCATAGCTCCAGGTGTTTTTCTCTGGGAGCCTTCCATATCGCATCTCCCCCTATGAACCATCGTGGAGATTAAGATCCTCCGGGGAGGCCCTGCTTTCCATCCCACCATTGTCACAGGCATGATTGGTGTGGACAAGAGACAGGGCCTTCTCGATGATTGCTCCCTGGCTATGGAACTCCCTTCCTGGTGAGATCAGATTGGCCCCCTCTCTCCTGTCCTTCAGTAGGATGGTAAAAACTTGGCTGTGGGACCAAGGTTTTGGGACAGGGCAATAAAGCAGCAATAGGAAAGATGACCAGGCCAATTAGATTTGATGCGGATGGCTAGGATGGTTTTAAATGGTGTATTTTAATATTTTGATAAATGCTTTTTAATGTTTATGTATTGTATGTGAATTTGTGTCCCGTCATTGAATGTTTGCCGTGTATATGCTGTGCTCCGCCCTGAGTCCCCTTTGGGGTGAGAAGGCTGGAATATAAATGTTTTAAATAAATAAATAAATAAATATCACTTAGCTCTTATCTAATGTTGCAGTTTCT